TTGGCATTTCCAAAAGATTCGAGCAAGGGATTAGCTGTTGAGAAAAGATGAAACTTAGGCCAATTCTAGCCCAGTAAATAAAGATCACCACTAAAAAGGGAGTTTTTGGACTGGAGGCAGTCACTTTATGAATAACCCATTAGTTCCTGTGCTGGCTGTAATTGGTCATGACAAGCATTGGCCTTTTTTTCACTTCTGACATCATCACCTTTGACCAAAACTGGCATCTTCACTAATTTACTCAATCTCCATGCTTTTAACTGATCTGATTATTCATTAACTGTTCAGACTAGAACATTTTATTTATTTAACACTAACTGCAGTACATACTCCCCAGAAAAAGTAAAGAATTCCGAAACCTTTAATATTAACGCACACTCTCTATTTTATGTTTATTAGCGACACAAACTGCACCTTCAATAATCCTCTGTTCAATGCGACCTTGATCACCTGACCCCCAGGATTCTGTCAGATACCTGTAATAATATCATACATGCGCAGGTANTTTAACTGATCTGATTATTCATTAACTGTTCAGACTAGAACATTTTATTTATTTAACACTAACTGCAGTAAATACTCCCCAGAAAAAGTAAAGAATTCTGAAACCTTTAATATTAACGTACACTCTCTATTTTATGTTTATTACGGACACAAACTGCACCTTCAATAATCCTCTGTTCAATGCGACCTTGATCACCTGACCCCCAGGATTCTGTCAGATACCTGTAATAATATCATACATGTGCAGGTACAGTGTATATTATGTTCAAGAATAACTTTATACAGGGTTGTCATTAAGTTTTGATTCAACTGTAGCCTTGATCTTCAAATTTGTAATAAACTTGTTACCTTTTAGGTAAATTGTATCGACTTTAGTCCAGTTCACCTGTAACATCAAGGCCCCCCATCAAACATATTCAGCTGTAGCAGGTGTTATGGGTTACAGCCCTTATTGACAACCCTGATATAAATTGCATGGTACATGTATTGTACTTGTAGGAGAATTATTATTACAAGCTGTCAACTGGTTACAAGTTCTCTAAAACATGCTTCTGATTCACACACCTAAGAAT